AAAAAATAAGAGAAAAAAAGAATACCTGGTAGTATGGATGTAACAAATACACATAAATGCGTATCTGCTACATAAATACTACCAGGCGTTATATTAACAATTATTGTATAGCGCCACCTTTCACTTGACTGACAATTTAAGCTTACAACTTTACTGGCTGTTAGTAGACTTTTTTTATAGGATAAAGGTGACAAGTGAGCACACAGTCCACCTGATGGTAACAACTTTACTGGCTGTTAGTAGACTTTTTTTATAGGATAAAGGTGACAAGTGAGCACACAGTCCACCTGATGGTAACAACTTTACTGGCTGTTAGTAGACTTTTTTTTTATAGGATAAAGGTGACAAGTGAGCACACAGTCCACCTGATGGTAACAACTTTACTGGCTGTTAGTAGACTTTTTTTATAGGATAAAGGTGACAAGTGAGCACACAGTCCACCTGATGGTAACAACTTTACTGGCTGTTAGTAGACTTTTTTTTATAGGATAAAGGTGACAAGTGAGCACACAGTCCACCTGATGGTAACAACTTTACTGGCTGTTAGTAGACTTTTTTTATAGGATAAAGGTGACAAGTGAGCACACAGTCCACCTGATGGTAAATGGTTGTTGTGGCCCATAGACATCTACATCTATCTTCGTTTGCGAATTAAAATACAGATGCGTTGTCAGCAGTGAGGAATAAGATAGAATGCCTCTTTTGCAGTAAAATTGGTCTCCGGTTCACTACATTCACCATACGAAAAACAGCAGCATTAAGCTATTATTTTACGCTGGTATTCTGTGAGAGCATGGTCCTTCCCCGGTCGAGCCAACCCATTCGTGCTAGCAGCCTGGCTCTACCACACTTTTTTTTACTTATTATAAGCTAGTGCTTGCCCAAAATCCCACCTGGTGGTAAGTGGTGATGCAGCCCTAGATGGTAAATCGCACTGTCTTAGCGTAACTAAAGCCTATTCACTCTTGCCTTGAAGACGCTCAGATTGTATTCGGATGGAAAGATAGACGCCGGCAAATTATTCCACTCCTTTGCTGTACGCATTAAAAAAGTCGAAGCAAACCTTTTGGTTCTAATGCGTCGAATATCGACAACAAAGGGGTGAAAACCCGCCGACCGCCTGGTTGTCCGATGGTGGAAAGGAGAGGGAGGAATCAAAGCGTGTAATTCCTGCGCAAACTCACCGAAATGCATCCTATAGAATACTGAGAGACTGGCTACTCTGCGCCTGTGCTCCAGACTGACAAGATTGGTTTCAACCAAATCAAGGTCACCAATGAGCCTCTTAGTACGTCTCTCCACTGAGTCCAAGGCTACCAGGTGGCATTTTGCAGCACCAGCCCATATGTGACAGCAGTACGCCATTAATAAATAAATTACTCAATTAATAAAAAATAAAATAAAAGTAACTTTCATCATGACATTTTTAATTAAGAAAAGAGTGATGACAAGAATGATGAGGACAAATAAACCTATCTCTCTATGTGTACATCAATATATAATATGAAAAGACAAGGCCCGATTCACTCACTCACTTACTCCCTCGCTGTAATTACTCACTAACTCATCAATGCCTAGCCCAAACCCTAGGACATAGAGAAAAGCTGAAATTTCGCAGAGATTTCCCTTATAATAACTATAATCATTTGAGACTTAAAATCTAGTTTTTTGAAACTAGCTCGGTATATACTGGTCCCAGTCATCTGTCACCTAGCCAACTGCTGCTTTAGGAAAGGTGTCTTCCCAAGCTTATTGAAACGAACGGATGTCAATAATTACAGGCCTATCTCGGTGCTTTCTTCACTGTCCAAAATACTAGAGAAGCTTATAAATAAAATACTGGTAACCTACCTAAAAAATACAACATATTGGCAGAATCACAATACGGCTTCCAATCAGGAAAATCTACCCAGGATGCTATTTTATCCCTAACATCACTCATTACCAATCAGTTGGACAGTGGAGGCAAATGCTTGATGATATTCTTAGATCTGAAGAAGGCCTTTGACACCGTATCTGTTCCTATTCTCGTGCGTAAACTAGAAGAGGTATTCCATTAAATGTAATTAAAAGTTATCTGAGTGGCAGGAAGCAAAAGGTCAGGGTGGGTAGTTTTGTGAGCAGCGATGCTGACTTAACTTTTGGTGTACCACAGGGCTCAGTTCTTGGGCCCATATTATTCCTCATTTACATCAATGAGCTTTGCAGTATGTCCCTAAACTGTACCACGATATTTTCTTACGCTGATGATACTGCCATGGCCATTACTGGCAACTCCTGGGACTCTATTAAAAAGAACGTTGAATCAGCACTTTTTACTACTGCTTTATGGTTAAGGTTAAAAACCTACTTTCGCTAAATACAATAAAGACTAACTTTATGTGTTTCTCTATAAGCAATAGAATGCAACCAAACCCAGATTAAAATCTCACGATACATAATTGCTGACTTCCAAATGCTTCAAATTGCAAATGTCCGATTATTGCCAAAGTGAACTCCACAAAATATCTGGGTGTAATGATTGATGACAGACTTTCATGGCACGCCCACACTGACCTAATTACAAGTCGCATCAGAAAATTAATCTGGATTTTTAAAATATTACGACATTCTGCAAAAGAAGACCTATTAAAACGCATATATGTTGCCTTGGCGCAGTCTATCACGACTTACTGCATTCCTGTATGGGGTGGTGCGTCAAAAGTAAAATTTTTATCAAGTGAACGTACGCAGCGCGCACTTTTGAAGGTCATTTTCTTTAAAAAACGTAGGTTCCGCACCCATGCATTCTATGCTGTAGCAGATTTATTGTCATTACGTAAATTATAAATGTAAAACATTTTTTGCTAGACAACAACACGCAAACCTGTCGTGTCAACTACAGAAGCTGCACTAAAAGTATCGGGAATGGAATATTTCCACTGTTCCTGTCATATTAAAATCTTTTTAATTGAAAAGACCTTAGTTTTAGAAATCGAATACCATTTATTTATTTAAAAAAAGATTCTCGGTCTTGTCACAAGGTTTTGTCAAACTTGTTTAGTCGTTGAGAAAATGGAATTGACTTGAGAAAATTCAAGAGCGATGATTTATTATGACTTTCGAAGTGGTTTAACACAAAAACAGTGTGTTGACCGGATTATTTCTGCATTTGGTGATAAAGCCCCATTCAAAACCACAATTTATCGCTGGTTTGCTGAATTTCAACGTGGACGTGTCAAGCTCAGTGATGATCTCCGTCAAGGTCCTCCAAAAACTGCAGTCACCCAAGAAAACGTTGATGCTGTGCGTAAGCTGATTGAGGAAGATCGACATGTGACATACCGTGAAATTCAGGCAACTTTAGACATTGGCATGAGTCAAATACAAATAATCTTGCATGAACAATTAGGTGTAAAAAAGTTGTTTTCCCGATGGATACCGCATTCGCTCTGTGAAGAGCAAAAAGCGGCTCGCGTTACTTGGTGCGTCAGAACTCTCGAAAGATTCCACGCAGGATCCTCAAATGCTGTATACAACATCGTATCAGGTGAAGAATTATGGATATATGCGTACGAACCCGAAACATAAAACCAGTCACGAGTTTGGGTGTTCGAAAATGAGTTAAAGCTAACAAAAATTGTTCGTTCACGGAGTGTTGCAAAAAAAATGGTGGCCACGTTTGTCTCTGAAACCGGCCATGTTACGTCTCTTCCTCTTTAGGGACAAAGAACCGTTAATGCAGAATGATATGCTAGCATTTGTTTGCCACAGGTCGTTTCTGAACGTTCGTAAAGAGAACTGCAACCGCCGCATCATCCTCCATCACGACGATGCGAGTTCTCACACCGCACACAGAACAAAAGAGTTTTTAGAGCAAGAAAACATAGAATTATTAGACCATCCGCCGTACAGCCCCGACCTAAGCTCTAATGATTTCTATACTTTGCCTAAAATAAATTGCGTGGACAGAGATTTTCATCACCGGAAGAAGCTGTGGACGCCTACAAAACGGCCATTTTGGAGACCCCAACTTCCGAATGGAATGGTTGCTTCAATAATTGATTTCATCGTATGGAAAAATGTGTCAAATTTTGCGGAGAATACTTCGAAAAGCAATAAATACATTTTTAAATAGTAGTGTTGTGTCACTTCCTTGATTCCCGAAATTTTCAGTGCCGCCTAAGGTCAACAATACCAAAACAACTTTTGAATGCAAGGATCTGGTCTTAAATTGGCTTAAGCCACTTACTTATGAGGAAGTAGAGACACACACACACACACACACACACACACACACACACACACACTCACACATACACATACACACACACACACACACACACACACACACACACTCACACACACACACACACACTCACACACACTCACACACACACACACACACACACACACACACTCAAACACACACACACACACACACACACACTCACACACACTCACACACACACACACACACACACACACACACATACACATACACACACACACACACACACATACACACACACACACACACACACACACACACATACACATACACATACACACACACACACACACACACACACACACACACACTTAAATTTTCCTATTCAATCACACAAGAGTAATAATGGCATGCATACCTTATTTAAATTATTAGTATGTAGTCTCTCAGTTTATTGACAAAGTAGTCTAAATGTGTGTTGTAAAAGCGTTTTTGGAAGAGCGGAGTTTCCTAGGACAAGCAATTTATTTAGCTTAAAAGGAATCTCCAAACATAGCCAACTTGTATTTTTAGACTTAAGTTAATGAAATAAAGTTTTTTGATTTTTTTTAAATAACATCTAAAAAATACAACATCGTTTGTTTGTCATGGCGCCAACTAGTTTCCCATCGAGGCCTTACCCTCAGGATAAAGTTTTGCTGCACAAAATATAGAGAAATTCACCCAAAATCATCTTTTTAAAAATTAGACAAAGTTGTTAAAAAAATATATTAACTTTAATTGATGTTGATCACGATCCTTGGTCAGATTCAGTTGAAACGTAGAATATTCCTGTAGCATTCCCCGGGTTCGAATTTCCAGCCATTGTTGTTTTATTGTTATTACATAAGCCTTCGGAAAACGCTTCATATGTCGGACAAGCCAGGGCGGAATACAAATTTGGTTGATGTACCGTTTTCGTCCAATATTTTACGCAGGCTTTGTGATAACATTTGTCTAAGTATTCTTCGTTCAAACCTATAGAACAAATAAATATGGATAAATTACCTATTAAACTTTTTGAAACATCATATTTTATGCTCCAAAATGGAATCTATGTGACTATTTTATTTTCCCCCCTAAAAAGCGTCTGGATTGGTATCACTCTCTCATCAAGTGCATTAATTGCTGAGTTTCGTTATCAAGGGTAAGAAACCCACTATAATAACGGGCTATGTGGTATTCTTATTTAGTCTTCACGGGTGAGAATACATCTTTTGTGTTGTTTGTTTGAATTTAACTATAGCAGTAACTTACCATCAAACAATTATCAAATGAGTTTTTTATGCTCACCATACGAAACTCAGCAGTATGATCCTTGTATTATGAAAGTACTAGCTGCAATTTTTTTTCACGGAACCCTAAAGTAAAGCAAGTCTAAGTTGCTCCTTATAACATCAGCTATCTGCCAGTCAAAGTCCCATCCAAATCGGTTCACAGGTTTGGTGATGCATGTTCATGCCAAAATAGACAGATGAGAGAGTTTTTTTCAGACTTACTTAACATTTATTGTTATATTTTGGCCAATTTACACAATATCTTTATAACTTATAACTTATGTGTTATTTTGATGTATGAGCTATATTATTGTAAAGTTTCATTAAAATCCATTCAGTAATTTTTGTGTGAAAGAGTAACAAACATCCATACATCCTCACAAACCTTCACATTTATAATAGTAGGATTATACGAGAGTGCGGTAATGTCCCGTTGGAGCTGACCAATTCGTGCTGCCTTAGTCGGCTGCAGCGTGGCTTTATGAGGTAAAATAATAGTTTTTTATATTTATTTACAATGGAAAATAAAACATTATTTTTTTATATTATTATTATGTACTATTTAACAGTGGTAGAGCCACGCGGCAGCTTTTGCTGTCGCACGGATGGGCTGGCTCAAACCGGGGTGGTACCACGACCTCACAGAATACCAGCGTGAAGTAGAGGTTTACCTCTGTGTTTCACTTCGTGAGTGCAGGTGGCCGGAGGCCCTTTTTACTGGAAATGAGGCATTCCATCTTAGTCCTCACGGGTGACAACGCATCTGCATTTTGATTCGCAGACGAGGATAGTTGTAGATGTCTATGGGCCGCAGCAATCACTTACCATCAGGTGGACTGTGTGCTCGTTTGTCACACTTATCCTATAAAAAAATTTACAAATTCTTATATACTTACTTCGGCAGTCGGGCTGAATCTTTCCTTCTTCATTAAAAAAGAAATCTATATCTCCTATTACATTGTTAGTACCTAGATGTCCAGCATTACAGTGGTACACTTCAACATAATCTGCGTTCCCAGATCTCAGCTGCTCTTCCAGCGTGGCGTTAGCAAAGCAAGGGCCAGCCGGATCTAATCCGGTTATTTTCCAAATTTTTTCCAAAATTTCAGCGAAGTAACTATCACCGGCGTAACCAACAATATGAGCACCCATACTATGACCAATGCAGTGGAAGTTTCTAGACGAATATCCTTTTCTTTTGAATTCTGCGAGAAGGCCACCCAAGGCTTTGCCAATGTAGTACGAATAGAGAACGGATCTTTCGTAGCACCTAAGTTTTTCCTCTGTTTCGTAAGTATACGCGGAGTGATCGATAATGATAAGATATATATTTTGAACATCTTTGTATGCTTGCCTGAACGATTCCTCTATATCACGGTTTATATAACCTTTATATCCAGGGACGAAGACCACGAGAATTTTAGACAAGTCCAGGGTTAGTGCTTCAGTTATGCAATCGACCGCATTCCTTATTTTGCAAACGATGTAAATGTTATTTGTGAAATCATAAAAGTACACTTTTGTGTCACTGACGTCCAAATCAAGCGATTTGTTAAATTTACCTGTAGGAAAGAAAGAAGGGACATTTATTTGGTTAAGATATCATTATGTTGGTCCGTTAGAGTAATTACATACACATGTATTAGCCCAAAATATTTCAAAAATTACATTAACATAAAAGAATGTCATATCCAATTGCATTTTATAATGATTAATGACATAAATGGTCGATTTACAGGGTTAGCCACTTCGATATTCTAAAATAATTTATGCATATAAAAAATATAAAAATGACTGGGAATGTCAACATATATATTAAATAAATACCCACTATCCCATATCTTCCCGTAGGTGACGTGAGAGGCGACAGAGGAAAACAAACCAAGAGATTTTTGTAATAACAACTAAAAAATAAAAAACTGCGGTTGAAAACACTGATATAAAGCGTAGTATTTTTGACAAATATCCCTCTATGAGACAATCTATGGGGGAGGCCTATGTTCCGCAGTGGAATTTTTAATAGGCTGTAACGGTATCTGAGTAGACTAGATCAAAATATAAATAATTTCAAACTGAAAGTAATCATGGCTAACTATACCACTGGGACGACCTAAGCGCTTGCTGTAGATTTCAAAATACGCGAATACCCCGGGTTTTATCTTCGCTGACACCAATGAAATTAGCTATTGCAATTACAAGTGCTTATATACCACGTGCTCGGCGATTAAGGAAAACATGGTGTGAAATAAAAAAAATATGGAAGACGAATGCGGTCCTTCAACTCGCACTGGACAAGCGCGTTTCACTAATTGCTCTGTAACCTTCTCAAAAAAATAACAGCATGTCTATGCCCATCTGTGGGACGTATGCTTTACTTTTTGCAACGAATTTCAAATCAAAAACTACAGGTGCATTGTTATTCTCCACAACTAAAATGTCACGTACTAAGGAGTAATTTTCTATACTTACATTTAAGTGCATCCGTGTATAGATGACGAAAGCGTTCTTCAAGTCCAGGTAACACTACCCCCGCTATAAATGATGAGAAAACAAAATAAATAATCACACACTTCATCATGAGCCGATAATTAAAAGCATACTAAAAATAATAAAGAATGTACAAATCACTTCACAAACTCGGTCATATTACTTGTTTTTGTTACAATAACCCAGTTAACTTGTGTTACAATGTGATAAAAACGAATTATATCCACACTTAAATAAACATTGTTGTATCTAACTGCTGTAAAAATTTAGCACGTTCATCTAACTTTTTTCGTAGTTGATTTTTCTGGTATTATTGCAACACTTCCCTGGTATTAGAGTGAGATTAGATATCTTGTTTTGGCAGAGCCTGAGAGTAGAGTTTGAAGTTTTTTGTAAGTGTACTTGGGCTAACGTAGCCACTTGCCATCCAGGCTGTATGTTCGTTTGTCACTGAAACCAATTTCAAACAAAGAAGGCTAAAGATATGTTGTCACCTCCGAGTACAAATAACACTGACTCTCTGTACTATCCAGGCCGAAACACGAAATAAGCATAAGTGTGGCACCTACCCAGATGGACTGCTAGGCAAAAAAGCAGTCGTACCACCTAGAAAAACCTTGCTAATGCCTCGTCCCGTTTCTGATGGGGTTTTTGGTGCTGAGAAGAGTGCACGTACTTAATTGCGTGTTCACATACATCACATGGACTCGATTTTTATTTTCTTAGTCATGCAGATTAATCATCATCATCATTACAGCCCTTCACAAGTCCACTGCTGAACATAGGCCTCCCCCAAAGAATGCCACAAAGCACGGTCCTGAGCCACCTGCATCCATCGACTTCCTGCATATCTTACCAGGTCGTCACTCCATCTAGTGGGGGGACGCCCTACACTTCGCCTGCCGGTACGAGGCTGCCACTCGAGAACCTTTCTTCCCCATCGGTTGTCGGTTCTTCGAGCTATATGGCCGGCCCATTGCCACTTCAGCTTACTAATCCGTTGGGCTATGTCGGTCACTCTAGTTCTACTGCGGATATCCTCATTTCTGAGTTTATCACGCAGAGAAACTCCGAGCATAGCCCTCTCCATAGCTCGCTGAGCGACCTTGAGCTTCCTCATCCGGCCAGCAGTGAAGGACCACGTCTCAGTTCCGTATGTCATCACTGACAACATGCAGATTAAATTAGTACTTAAAATTACATTTAACAGTTTTATTGGTGCTGATGGGGATCGAACTCGGTTTGTACTGCAAAATATAAGGAGTGCTTAACCCCTGAGCTATCATGGGTTAAGCACTCCTTATATTTTGTTTTGTGTACATGTTTTTTACTAGTGCAAAAAAATGTTAATTTTATGTTCATTCTCACGTAAAGTGAACAACAAATTGTCCACTATCAATTTGTCCCATGGCTTATAACAAACAGGAATAGGCCAACAGTGTTACTTGCCTAGCATGTCGTAAAATTCGACTAAGGTACTTGAGTGTAATATGGTGATTGGTGACCTTAAGCTTTGCCGCCCTATAAAACCAAAACTAGTAGAAGAACAGAGACAATATCGTATACTATAAATAATATATTAAGAAAAAAATAGCGAACGTGCTTTGGCAATAATCTACTCTACACTATACTAAAATCGACTAAAATATTTACTATAATATAAACTAATGATTTCTTATATTTACGCGAACATTTAGTTTTATTCAATGTATAATATAAACTGTCAAAATGGCGTCGATAAAGCGGCGCCCTTGTGAACCTTTATTATTTGATTATCTGATCAAGAAATGTAGTTTTTGAGTTATATGAAAGTGACCATATTCATCATCATCATCATCATTACAGCCCTTCACAAGTCCACTGCTGAACATAGGCCTCCCCCAAAGAATGCCACAAAGCACGGTCCTGAGCCACCTGCATCCATCGACTTCCTGCATGTCTTACCAGCTCGTCACTCCATCTCGTGGGGGGACGCCCTACACTTCGCCTACCGGTACGAGGCTGCCACTCGAGAACCTTTCTTCCCCATCGGTTGTCGGTTCTTCGAGCTATATGGCCGGCCCACTGCCACTTCAGCTTACTAATTCGTTGGGCTATGTCGGTTATTCTGGTTCTACTGCGGATATCCTCATTCCTAAGTTTATCACGCAGAGAAACTCCGAGCATAGCCCTCTCCATAGCTCGCTGAGCGACCTTGAGCTTCCTCATACGGCCAGCAGTGAAGGACCACGTCTCAGTTCCATAAGTCATCACTGGCAACACGCACTGGTTGAACAATTTCGTTTTAAGGTTTTGAGGTATGTCTGACGAGAAGATGTGTCGTAGTTTCCCGAACGCTGCCCAGCCGAGTTGAATCCGTCGATTGACCTCTCGGTCGAAGTTGGACTTACCTAGTCGGACTATTTGTCCCAGGTAAACATACTTGTCAACAACTTCGAGCTTAGTGTTCCCAACAACTACCGGCATAGGTGTGACATGGACATTAAACATGATCTTTGTTTTGTCCATGTTCATCTTAAGACCTATCCGTTGGGAAACACTACTGAGGTCATTGAGCATAGTGCTTAGGCCCTCCAGCGATTCTGCCATAAGGACTATATCGTCGGCAAATCGAAGGTGAGTGATGTACTCGCCATTGATGTTGATACCGTATCCTTTCCAGTCCAGAAGCTTGAAAACGTCTTCCAATGCAGCGGTGAAGAGTTTCGGGGATATGACGTCACCCTGTCTTACACCTCTCTGCAATTGGATAGGTTTCGTACTCTGGTTCTGTACTCGGATAGCCATCGTAGCCCTACTGTACAAGCACTTCAACACTTCGATATACCGACAGTCAATTTGGCACCGCTGAAGGGACTGCAGCACCGCCCAAATTTCGACGGAATCAAAGGCTTTCTCATAGTCCACATACGCCAGACATAGTGGCAAATTGTACTCTTCGGACTTCTGTACAACTTGCCGAAGGGTATGTATGTGGTCTATGGTGCTAAAGCCCTTTCGGAAACCGGCTTGTTCGGGAGGCTGGAAGTCGTTAAGTCTGCGCGCGAGACGATTCGTAATGACTCTCGAAAACAGCACGTAGACGCGGCTCAGAAGGGAAATCGGTCTGTAGTTCTTCAAGAGAGCGTTGTCACCTTTCTTGAAGAACAAGACCACCGCACTTCTGCTCCACGCCTCCGGTGTAATGCCACCATGGAGGACGGAATTAAAGAGCTTCTGAAGGACTTCAAGTACCGGTCTTGCACCCGCTTTCAGAAGCTCCGCTGTAATTCCATCCTCGCCTGGGGCCTTACCATTTTTAAGGTGCAATATTACCCTCACGTAATTGGGATATCGGATTTATGACTGTGTAGCTAATAGGCGAGCTACCTATTTCTTTTTTCACAATTTTACATTTTAACCCGTGTATATTTTGTGGCTAAACGTGGTTCTAGTGTGTTACTGCTCTTTAGACTCCACCTGCCCTCTTGTGGATTATAGCCGCTGTGTAGCTAATAATGAAAAAAATCTGGTCTTTATGATACAAACATAACTAATTTAAACAAATATAACAAAAGATTCCCATTAATTGAGCTTAAGACTAGATAGTTTTAGTTTAATTGTACTAAATGGAGGATAATGTTCATCATCATCATCATCATTACAGACTATAAAAAGCTCACCTTTAAACATAGGTCTCCCCCATGGATTGCCTAATAGGGGGATATTTGTTGTAGCTGCCACGCTTGGCAGTCGGGTTGGCAACCGCAGTTTTTTATTGTTCAGAGTTCATCTCCTGTTTCACATACATCTTACAGCCGCCACTAAACGGATAAAAGGATAATTTTGCCACTCTAAACCATAACAGATAATAAGAAACCGCATGAAACATCGTTTTGACTTATTTAATATAAGTAACGATCACTTTAAATGTCTAAGTTTAAATGTGTAATCAAACAAATTAAAAGGCAACAGAGCGCCTGGAGTTTGTAAATAGCACGTCTACCAAACGTGAAATAAATAAGTTTACAAAATAATAATAACCATTTTATTTCGATGTCATTCCCCTCTATCCACAAAGTTCATTACCATCATC